TTTTTTTTTTTTTTTTTTTTTGGGGGGGGGGGGGGATTATGTGACTTTTTCTTGGTCCGCAATTTGTGAGGATGATGATTGAGTTTATTATCATTTTAAACTTTCCACTTCTCACTGCTCTGTATAAGCATGTAATTCCTAGTACTTAGAAATTTTGGGTGGCAGACTAGTGAAATGGGTCCTAGTTTGTAGTGTTTTATCAGCCTTGTATCAGGCCTCAAGCCTGTATATCATTCTGGGTTATTATACCAAAATAGCGTGATTCTTGAGAATTATCATGTTTGTGGTGTTGTCAATTTGTCATATACAAATCTTTATATGATCATGTATTTTGAGTAACACATAGTTTTGTGGTCCAACTATGATCATGTATTTCGAGCAACACATAGTTATGATTTCTCACTTTATTTGTCAGTAAGATCTACCTCAAAACTTTCATCAAATAATTTTCCGTCACATTATAAATATGGTCTTTTCATCCGTGACGGAAATTATTTAAGGAACTTTATTTGACAAACTTACTAATTAGCTAGGGAGGAATCCGTGTGAGCATTACAACATGCATTTCTTTTTGTGTGTTTTGGGGGTTAATATGCCATGTTAAGGTTATCTTTGACAAATATAGTATAACATAATATGTAGGATACATTGATTGTCAGCTACAAAATAAAGTTGCATTCATAATATGATCAGTTGGAGACTGGTAAATTTTTTATGAATATGGCTCTCTGCAATTCTTGAAGGGGGTTGTTGTTACGTGCACACTCAGATTGTCGTTCCCTTTTGATAAGATTGCATCATATTAGGATTCATATTTTGGAGAGGCCATAACTTTTATTCTTTATCTTTGATGTTATACTCAGTCCAGTCCCATCTTTATTGGTATATCGCGAAGAGTATTGAATGTTAGACCAACTGCTTTTTTCTTCATCAAATGCAATCTTCGGTCAGAGGAAATTCAACAACTGTATTCTAGTGCACAGGATAGCTTCGAGTCAACTCAGCTTTATGCTGTTTCAATGGTTAGTTTTACAAATTGTTAAAATAGTTCTCATAACTAGTCTTACCTCTTAATTTTTGCTTAACTTATGTATGGAACCACTTTTGCTGAACTCCGTGGAGCTTAACCTAGCGGAAATCTCATGTGGAGGGGAAAGGAGCATCTAGGCATGTGAGTGTTCAGGAAAGGCAGGATCTATATAGTTAAAGTTGGAGCCAATTAGAGCTTGTAGTTAAAATTTGGAGACTTTCAGATTCCTTTTGAAATTAAACTTTTAGCATCAGTGTCATCTTTGCAATCACATAGAACTCCTGTCGCTCATAGAATATTCACAAAATGTCTGATTCATCCCAATTTTGTTGTGATTTGCTATTTTTAGTTTCTCTAGAATAGAAATACATTATTTGTAACATGGATTTTATTTCTGAGTTAGTGTTATGAATGTCTGAGTTACATGACATAACTATATAAAAACACTAGCTGTTGAAAGACAGTAAGAGTAATAGAAAGTGATAATTGCAAATCTATCCTTTGGTTCTACCTTACAGCTTCACAATGCTTGATCCTGGCGTCTTCTTATTCTAAGCATCACTCAAACTCTTAAAGTGGATGAGATCCTTCTAACCAAAATAGTCCTCTACCCTTCTGAGCATGAAATTGCTTAAAATGAACCTTAGAGGAATGTCCTTTCTGTTCTATCTGGGGCCATTTAGCAGCTAAAGCTAGCATTATATTTGTCATGCGAAGATTCAGTTTGAGCATTTTAAGACTTTTGTTCATGTGCTGGACTACTTCTGTCCTTACATTGCATTCTTGCATTACGGACACATCACCATTTCAAGACTGCTGATGGTGGGTGCATTTTTCTTTTGCAATGATCCTTTGTTGGAAGACGTATTGCTAAAAATAGTATAAGAGGCAGTTTTGCCTCTTCATTTATAAAAGAAAAGTTCATATTCTTTAAACATCTGTTTTGTCCTAGCCAACATTTGTTATCCATGACTTTATTTCCTACTGTTTCTTTTTTTGTCAGAGTGATCTAGAGAACATGGCTTCTAAAATGCCTGGCTGCCACAGGGGAGGCTACGCACTCTACAAATTAATGGTGCAAGACACGAGTGATAGCTAATCACATTGTTAGCTGATTTAGCCTCTTAATCTCGTCTGCCTGATTTATTCATGTTTGCCTCACAGTCGTTGATGTTCAATCACATCAAGGCGAGTGATAGCTAATCACGTCTTCTGCTGAAAAAGGAATGCAGCCTCTTAATCTCTTGTATGCCTTATTTATACAACGTTTGTCTCTCAGTCCTTGATGTGCAATCTCATGCTGTGCTGTTTCATTGATCAAAAGAAAAGTTTCCATGGATCTAAATGAGCCAACATACACTACACAGATTATGTAATTTTGTCATATTGAATGACAAGCAAACACATTTGTCTTTGCTTCTCTGTAGTAGTTTTATTTTATGAATTGATTCATTCGAATATTGACTGCCCGTTTCTCTTTTACTTGTTCTCAAGGTTTATGTACCGACTTCCAACGTCTGGACCAAAGAGTTTCCAGAGCATCGTCTTTCTCTAAATAGTTTTAAATTATATATATATATAAAGAGAAAATTGAATAAATGACACATATAAGATATTTTTATCAAAATATATTTTAATTTTATGATCTTAAACATATTATGTGTGTTATGTTAGAGTTAAAGAATAATCAAATTAGGGAAGGGACATTTTTAAAAAAAATTGAGAAAGTAAGTCTCAGTTTTTGAGTCTTGTGTCAATTTAAATATTAGCCTAAAAGGCTTATTCCAAAATAATCAATTTCGTAAAAGCAGTAGAGTCAAGTTGTCACTAGGTTCTTTGGGATGGCTCAATTGGTTTGGAGGGTGGTCATCCACATGGATGACTCGAGATTGATCCTCACTCAATACCTTATGAGTCGAGTCTGTGTCTGTTGCATAGGGCTTGCCTAGTGCGGTTTATATTTCCAGTGTGATTTGCAAGCTATTACACGGATTTATCAAGTGCGCACAAAGTGCTCACTTGAAGGGCAAAAGCTGTGGCAGGAATTGCAATGCATCACATTACCAAGTTACAAGTTTCTATATGAACTTTTTAAAATAATATGAAGAAAAAGAAATCAAAGTTTTATCTATTGACATTAGGTTGACCAAATACAATATGTATCACCACAATGGATTTTTTTTTTTTATGATAAACACCCTCACCTTCATTTCTTAAGGTTGTGGGTCGAGTCAAGGAACTCCAATCCTAAGATTGTGGATCGAGTCAAGGAACTCCAATCCTAAGGCTGTGGGTTGAGTTGCCGAAAGAAAAGAATGGTTGAAAAAAAAAAACTTTCAAACCAAACTCCATTTAGATAATTTTTTATTTTTGAAAAAACTTGAAAAAATCATGCCCTTTTTCAAATATTTCATAATGTCTGTCTTTCTATATTTGGAGTGATCAGTCTAAAAAATTACAGCACAGATATATGTGTGTGGTTTGTAGACCTTCTGGTAATATGGTTAGTGAAAATATTCACCAACCAAAGGAAGCAATTTTTTCTTCAGTTTCATCTCAAATTATTAAAATACAAATAATAATTATAATAAAAACAAACCATTAATATTCTTAATGTGATTTTCAATATTCAAATCATCACCACCAACTTCAAAAAAAAAGTTCCATTCTTTTGGTTCTTTTTTTTCAAGAACTCAGGGTGGTGGTTCTTAATTTTTTTGTTGAATGCATGTCCCTTTTTAGAAGCTTTTCTTCTATTTATCAACCCAATATACAAAGGTTGTTTAATTTTCATCATAAAAAAGCTTTCTTTTGGTGGGGTTCTTGAAATTATATCAAGAAAATTGCAAAAAGGTGGAAGTTTTTTCATGTCCAGGTAAAAAAAAAAAAATCCCTTTTTTTCTTTGTCTTAATTTTGCAATCTTTGATGGTGTAATACACTTTAAGGAATGAAAATAAGACACTAGACATAACATACCTGTACCTGTTGCTGGTGGGAGGTGACATGTATCCGTGAAATTAGTCGAGGTGCGTGAAAGCTGGCCCTGACACCACGGTAAAAAAAATCATTTTTTGTTTATTGCTGGCTAGCTAGTGTATTGGAACTCATGAATTAAAGATTGAAAATGAAAGCCTTTTCTTCATGTAGAAAAAAAATATTTTAATGATTTTGTTGTTGTTGTTGTTTCCAGGCTATTGATAATGTGAGTGAAATTCAAGATTTTGGCTTTTGATGAATCCAGGAATGTGTGATTATATAATAAAGTTTGTTTCTTGAAAGTTTACTAAGAGTTGAAAAATATGATTTGTTGATGCAAGTGTTTTGAGGGAAGGAAAAAAAGAGGATTTTGGTTTCAAGATTAGCATATTGGGAATTTTTGGGAACTTTTAATAAGATGGAGGCACCAGCAGCTCAGCCAACAACACCCCGGAAAAAGATGACGAAACAATTAACAGGGAAACGCGATGATAGTGCCTTGCATTCGGCAGCTAGAGCTGGAAATCTTGTTGCAATCAAAAATACTATTGAGGACACGGATGAGGAAGAATTGGCAGAGTTATTGATAAAGCAAAATTCAGCTGGAGAGACACCTTTGTATGTTGCAGCTGAATATGGTTACTATGAGGTGGTTAGGGAAATGATCATGTATTATGATCTAGTTGCAGCTGGAATCAAAGCGAGGAACGGATTTGATGCACTGCACATTGCTGCCAAACAAGGAGATTTAGGTAAGCTGCCGATGTTCCATCAGAGGCGTATCTAAGATTTAAACTTGATGGATTAAATCTTTAACGTTCTTAGCACTAAATTCATTGTACTTTTGAAGTTTTGGGTTTCAAAAATTGAAATTTTAGTGGTTTTCTGTTCCATATCGAAAATACTGAGTTTAGTTGAACTAAGCTAGCTAGCATCATTTTAGCCGTTTCCATTTTCTGATGTCTAAAAAGGGTACTCTGGTGCACTAAGCTTCAGCTATGTGCGGGGTTAATGGAAGGGCCGGACTACCACGGTCTATTGTATGCAAACTTAATCAGCATTTCTGCAAGAGGTTGTTTTCATAGCTCGAACCCGTGACATCCTGGTCACATGAAGGCAACTTTACCAGTTCTGATGTCTATTTTATGAAAATTTTTATGAACTAGCTTGTTCATTTTTGGTAATGTTGCAGATGTGGTGAAGGTATTGATGGAAGCACATCCCGAGCTCGCAATGACTGTTGATGTAGTAAATACGACAGCTTTGCATACTGCAGCGAACCAAGGGCACATAGAGATGGTGAATTATCTCTTGGAGGAACAAAGCAGTTTGGCCACTATAGCTAAAAGTAATGGGAAAACAGCATTACATTCTTCAGCAAGAAATGGACATTTGCAGGTTTTGAAGGCTCTTTTGAGTAAGGAGCCAGGGATCGCAACGCGGATGGATAATAAGGGACAGACCGCACTTCACATGGCTGTCAAAGGACAAAATCTCGAGGTTGTAGAGGAGCTCACTAACGCTGATCCTTCATTAGTTAACATGGTCGACAATAAGGGAAACACACCTTTGCATATAGCATCTCGTAAAGGCAGGGCTGAGGTATATTTCATCTTATGTAGCTGATGTTAGATGGGAACACAGTACTTACAGAAATAATATGAGAAAGAAATAGAAACGTCTGCGCGAAGTTTGTGGAAATGTCATTTATCACACATGTAAATATGAGACACTGAATCCTAGATTTGCTCTCTGTGCCCGGGACAGAAAACGAAAGCTGTACAATATTTCCAGCCTCAAGTGGTACAATTTTTACCTGGAAGCTGTACAATGTTGCTGTTCTTTTTGCACCTTTCACTTAGAGACGAAAAATTTACACTCTTTTCATGTCTACATCTGTCATTAGCATGTCATTGATGTTTTCCTTGCACTTGAACAACTTACTTCATATATGATCCAAATTGCTTGTCATTGATGTTGATCACAGAGGAGAACTGACTTGTTTTGAGCTTATGCAGGTCGTTAAATTGCTGCTCTCACAGAACGAAACAGACGTGAAAGTTATCAATAGGTCACACGAGACAGCTCTAGACACTGCTGAGAAAATGTCACAGGCTGACACCGTAGCCATCCTGCAGGAATATGGGGTTCAGAGTGCCCGAGTCCTAAAGCCACAGGCAACGAATCCAGCTAGAGAGTTGAAGCAAACCGTTAGTGACATTAAGCACGAGGTTCACGATCAGTTAAAACACACAAAACAGACAAGAAAACGCATACAAGGCATAGCCAAGCGGCTGCACAAGATGCACAGAGAAGGCCTTAACAACGCGATCAACTCAACCACAGTCGTAGCTGTACTCATTGCCACAGTTGCCTTTGCAGGAATATTTCAAGTGCCAGGGCAATACTATATGGATCCGGACAACCTCCCAGAGGGCCATATAATTGGAGAAGCAAACATATCAAACCACCCTGGATTCCTCGTGTTCTTTGTCTTTGACTCAATCGCGTTATTCATTTCACTAGCAGTTGTGGTAGTCCAGACAACAGTGGTTGTTATTGAGAGCAAAGCAAAGAAGAAGTTGATGTCAATCATAAACAAGCTAATGTGGATAGCATGTGTGTTTGTATCAGTTGCATACTTGGCTCTATCTTTTGTAGTCGTTGGCACGCGTTATTGGGTGATGGCAGTTATTGTAACAGTTCTTGGAGCAACGATCATGGCTTCAACAATCGGAGTAATGTTATATTGGGTCATTAAGCATCGGATCGAGTCATCAAACAAGAAGAGCATGAGAAAGAACTCTATGGCAAGCAAGTCTATGGATTACTCTGATTCAGCCCTCTCTGATGACAACAATGAATTCAAAATATATGCCTTATAACTTTTTTGTTTCTTCTTCAATTTGACAAATGAACTTTGTTTTTGCTGGAAAATTTTGAGACTAGTACTATGTTATGGCTCCAACTTACAACTTACTAAATGGCGATATGATTGTTCAATCTAAGTGAGATTTTATTTTCTTCAAATTTCTAGTGTTGCTAACAACTTGTATAGAGAAGGATTTTTGTTCAATGATACCAACTAAGTTACTTTCTAGTAGAGGATGATTTTTTTATAATAATGATGATGATAATTGATGTTGCAAGAATCAATTGCGACTCCTATGTAATTTATATACTATTACAAAACACTTTCTCAATATATGAAAATTTTAAAATCAGAGATTGTGTTTACTTATAATTTTTACAAATGCTATTTGACTGTTTGAATATACGTACTTTTTTAAAAATAAAAATATCAAATATAATTTAAATAGAGTTGTTTTTAATAAAAACAAAAAAATTAGGATAAAAATTAAAAAAGAATAATACAGTGAAAGTAAAATAAAATAAAAAGTAAAAACAAGGTTTTGGATATTTTTTTCAATTCTAAATACAATTTCAAGTTGTCTTTAGAATTTTCGATCAAATCTTGATTTCTAATATAATAAATAAATAAATAAAATTTTCATGGTCTTAATTACTTACATCATAGGTATTTTTGTTATACAAAAAGGTGAATTTAATCTTTTTTTCTTATATATATAAAGTGTATAAATGGGTAGGGATTTAGGTTAATTCCAATTTTTTCTCTTATATAAATAATAAATCTTAGTGTTGTACTAAATTGAAGCAAAATGGATGAAGAATTGCTAGAATTGCAGAGACAATTCGAATTTGCACAACAAGTAAAATCTACTGTTCGATTATCAGACCGAAATGTTGTCGAATTGGTCCAGAAACTTCATCAGCTCCAAATCATTGACTTTGATCTCCTTCATACTATCTCCGGCAAAGAATACATCACTCCGGTACCATTCGGTCTATCTGACTTTTTTTAATCTATTTTTTTTTTAAAAGATTGGATTTTTGTAGTTGTAAGTTGAAAATCATTCAATACTATTATAAGGGTGGCGATATTTTGTTATGTTTGTAAATGGGTATTTTGAATTTTATTTATTGGTGTTGTTTAACTGTAGTTATGTGGGTGTATTATAGAACTTGGAGCAGTTGAGAATTGAAATGGTGGCATAGAGGGATTATTTTTATCTAACTTTGTGAAAAAAAGATTTGATTTTTATGGTGTTGATGTTTAGTTCTGCTTATATATGTGGGTCTTGTGATCTTTCTTCATTGGGTGCTGTTTAATTGTAGTTATATATGGGTGTATTTTAGGAGCAATTGAGGAATGAAATTGTGGCAGAGATCAAAAGACTAGGACGTGTTTCGTTGATTGATTTAGCTGATTCTACGGGGGTAGACTTGTACCATGTTGAGAAACAAGCTCAGTATGTAGTATCCCATGACTCATCCCTCATGTTAATTAATGGGGAAATTATCTCGAACACGTATTGGGATACGGCAGCTGAAGAAATCAATGAAAGACTTCAAGAATGTAGCCAAATTGCCATTGCTGAAATAGCAGGACAACTACAAGTTGGATCAGAGCTAGTAGTATCCATTCTTGAACCTCGTCTTAGGACTTTGGTAAATATCTGTCTTTTCGGTGTAGAAATTTAGGGTTGACGTTATGTGATCGAAGTTTTGATATGTTTGTATGGAATGTTTAGGTAAAAGGTAGGCTTGAAGGTGGGCAGTTGTATACACCCGCCTATGTTGCTCGTGTAAGTGCAATGGTCCGTGGTGCAGCTAGGGGTATTTTTGTTCCAATGAACACAACAGCATTATGGAACTCCTTGCTGACTTTACTGCAAGAGATGGACGGAGCTGTTGGTGTTGCTGTTGACACTTCATTTTTCCAGTCCTTGTTTAATGGCTTAGTAAAAGAAGGCGAGATTCTCGGCTCTCTTCGTGCAGGAGTTCATTGGACACCTTCCGTATGTGACCTAATTTATTATGTATTGAATCTCATTCTAGTCTTTGCACTCTTTGTTTGTGTGCAATAACTTTGTTATTCTACCTTTGCTCCATTTCTTCAGGTCTTTGCCATAGCACAAAAGGACTGTGTAGATTCCTTCTTTTCGCAGGTGGGTATCTGTACTGCTCTGCTACTAATGTTGGATCTAAAGTTCTAGTTCCTTGCTTTGACGTGAATTTTTTTTCCGGATGTGGTCCAGTAGTACTTGTTGCCGCACCTTGTTTCTTTGAAGCATTTAAATTACTTCCTTTATCAATTTCTTAACAGAAGTTATTTTTAGTGGCTACTTTTTTTTCGGCTGTATTCATTTGTTTTTGTAGTTAGATGAAATTTCCTCAACAAGTTCAAACACCTGAGTGTTTCTATGGCTTTACGGAAAAAAACAATCACCTAGATTCTCTTACCTTTACTGAGACTATATATATTTAGTCTTGAGAGGCATATACATTTCATTAGAAACGTTATCTTGAGAAAAAGTGAGCATTTGATGCCAAGTGACTAGAACCAAAGTTTTGCGTCCCTCACAGAAAGAAAATTTGGTATTATATATAACCTAATAAAGCTTTAGTAGAAAAATCGTTCCCAAATAGAAGACAATTCTTTGATCTGCAAAGAAAATGTTCTCTATTTCCTTCCCGGACTTCTCAATGTTTTCTCCATTTCTTTCCCGAACTTCTTAATGCTTTCTTCTAGACAATATAAGATGTTTCTTCTTAATACAAACTTTAATTGAATTTCACAAAGTAACACCCAGAAAATCTTGTAAGAAAAGTGCCATATATTACTTATGATGGCCTATTTTTTAGGATAGAGAAGTGAAAGGCGGAGGTCCAGATATTGGTCCTTAACTCTGAAGGAATGCAAATGACTGTTTTACTAAATAAATTCAAGTTTTTCTAGATATTTTTGTTGATCTTCTTAAGGGATTATATATCACTTTGTTTTTGGTAATGCAGAATTCTTTTGTTACTTATCAAGCTCTGAAAAAACTCGGGATTCCGCAACCTTCTCAATTCCTGCAGGTATTTTGCTTTGTCTTTTCCTAGTTGCATATGTTCCTTGGATTTTTTTCTAATTAAGTTCTGGTCATGAATGCCACTTTAGTCTAGATATCCAGATGGTATATCTCTGGACTCAACATTTGCTCACCCTTCTATAATTGAGATACTGGATGCTGCTGTTGAGGATGCCATAGAACGTAATAGCTGGTAAGGGTCCCTATGTGGGAGGAGTTATGTTCACTTACTTCATTTAGAAATGTGTGATGAACTTAATCTGTAAAAGTTGTGTCTGTTATTTGTGCAGTTCTAATTCATCTGAACATATAAGTTGGATTTACACTTTTGACTGTTCTTATGTTAAAAACCATAAAATTTCCTCTTACATCTTAGAACGTAGTACCATTCAACATCTAAGTTGGAACTTGGAAAGGAACAAGCGGTACTGTTTCATGCCCTTTTCATCTGTTCATTGAACACAAATACTGTCATTGAATTGGGAGTTGTGTGTATGGAGTAAAAGATGACATCTGTTGACACTTTTACGAACAATATTTTCCCAAACATGAAAGCATAGAGATGCACAGCCTGTTTGTACAACACATTTAGTGGGTTGAACTTCATCTATGGTTTCTTATGTATGATCTATTTGAAAGAGTTTGTGCTCCTTTCAACTTAACTCAATAAATGGTCTTGGCGGCTTGGCCACGTAAAACCTCACTACAATCCCTGCATTGCAGGATAATGCATAATTTGACATCTTGGGGATCTTAAATTGTTGCAGGATTGATTCGCTTTCAGTTTTACCCGCTTCCTTTGGTAGCCAAGATGCATTTAAGATTCTGTCACTATGTCCATCAGTTCAAGCAGCACAAAAGGTGATGCTTCCTTGTTCCTCTTGTACATTTATCTTAGGTTTTATCCTTTTTGTATTCGTGTGCCAGTGATTCTCACGTAGGTGTACTTTTTTGCAACCTTTTTTTCGGGATAATGCAAACCTTTGTAGCATTTGGATTCTGCCATGAAGCAGCACCATTCCAAATATGTAGTGCATGAGAACTGTGCGCTGACAATTTATAGAGAGAATTATTTTCTGACCTGGTCTCACAATCTTGGTTTTGCTTTTTCAGTCAAATAGAGCACTTATCTTGGGAGATACATATATTTTTAGCAATGGGTTTGTCAAGGTATTGTAATAATTTGCACTATTGATTTTTTTTTAATTTAAAAATCTAATTTCAATTCAAATGTTATATTGCTAAGCTTCTGTGGAAGTTCTGATACCTTAATCTTGTCCTTTTTTTTGGGTATAAAATTTCTTTATAGGATCTGTTTGATCGGATGGAAAAAGAGATGGAAACATTAAGCATTCCAGGGCTTGTCGGTTCTGGGCCTGTAGATGAGTTTCGTGTTGCTAAAGATGCTAAAGTTGGATATGATAATAGCACCATTGAAGTAAATGAAACAAGCAGTGATGCCGGTATCAGCAAACAGGCCTCGGAGAAAGGATCTAAGAAGAAAAAAGGAAAATCAGGTGGGAATACTAAGATGGCGCAAGCTGAAACAGGGACAGATAACCAGGAATCTGCCCCTAGTAAATCTAAGAAAAGCCAGAGGAAAGGTAAAGTGTCATCTGGCTCACAAACGTCAGAATCAAAGTCAGGTGCTAGAAAGGATGAGGACAGTGTTGGCGCTATTTCCGAAGAATGGGTAATTCAGAAGATCACATCTCTTAATCCTGACTTTGAAGAACAAGGTACTTTGTGATTACTCTTTTCTAAGAGTATTGTAGCTGTCTAGCGGTCTATCCCTAACTGCCCTTACTCTCTATTTTTCATTTGTTCCACCACAGGTCTGGATAACCCGGAGATGATTCTTTTGCCTTTAGCAAAACATCTGAGACCTTTGCTCGTCAATTCATGGAAGGAACGAAAAAAGGCTGCTTTCACTGAAAATACCCAAAAAATAAAAAAACTACTTGATAATTTGCAAAAGAAACTTGATGAGGTAAGTTATGGTTAGTCATGTCTACTCCCACTATCATGAGCATTAGATACATAGTTCGTCTGCTTTGATTCCTTCTG